TCGCTACACCTGCCATCCAAAAATTGACATCGTAATTTACCGACCAAATGGCTTGGAAAATTACCTCCTCCCCGAAATAGCCGCCCCCGGAAATGCAACCCCCTCCTTAACTCATATCTGCTGATTCAAATTGACGGGAGTTTGTGACGTGCAGCTCAAAAGTAAAAAAATCGTAGGAAATTATCGTGTAGTGAAGGTGCCCGAGACGCCAACAATATTGCGACTTTCCGTTTTTTTTTTTTTCAAAATTTTCCCCAGAATTTTGGAATGGCGGTGGTGATTGTTTTATTTCTTATTTTGGAGATATTTACTCATGGTTAGTGTGTGTGTAATAATAATAATGATAATAATAATTAACTGTTTATTGAAAGAGCTTGGCAGCCAGAAGGCTGAAAATATACAGTTACATAATTGAGGAATGGGTTTCGATTTACAAATAATATACAAATAACATAAGTGATACAAATAAGATATATAATAACTAGATGGGGAAAAGCTCAAACTACAGGGCATTTCAACATAGTGACAGTGTAAGGAGCAGTGTTTACTGGGAGTGAATACACTGGTTTATTACAAGTTATTGATAATTTTACAATGGTTGGGACTGGGCTGTTTCCTATAGCGATCAGTTCGTGCACGTATGGGCTGGATGCGGTTGTGGTGTCGAACAGCAATTCGGCTAGGATCTCAGGTAGTAGGAGCCGGTGTCGAGGATGGTGTAGAAGCCTACCAAATTTGCAGATGAGGTCGTGGTGATGGTCAGTGAGAGTCGAAAGGGTCAGTGTGTTGAGCACTTCTTGATATGTGTGTGTGTGTAAAATTTCTATATATTTCTTGGGGTATTGTTTTAATGTTATCGTGTTATATACCTAGAGTAAGTTGTTTTAATTTAACCCTTTGAATATAATATATATCACTGTACTCAAAGTTAGTCAATGTACTCAAGGTGTTGTCCATTGTACTCAAGGTGTTGTCCATTGTACTCAAGGTATTAGATAAGGCAGCCAAAATAGAACATACTGAAACACCTTGACAGAAACATGGCGTGTCACATATAAATTACCTGCAGTTAAACACTTCATTAACTACAAAATCATTTATGGTAAAAAACAGACACACAAACAACAACTACAACCTTTTAAGGGAATTACAACTGATGATACGTTTATTACAACCCATTCCTTAAGAGATGAACTGACATGCGCGATGAAAGAAGAATTTATACAATTGTCTGAGATTATTTCAGGTACAATTGTTGTGTCATTTCATCTTTATAGTTATTTGAATTCCTGGACGATTGAAGCCGCAAAAATGACTAGACAAAATATATTTCTTTGTTTTTGCCCTGCTTATCTTATTTTGTTCTTGTTTATGTTTGTTTGTTTATTCCATCTATGTTGACTATTATGCCTTGTTTACATTTTTTGTTTACTACGAAAGCTTCATGTTTGGTCGTGTTTACTTAAAGACCCGAGACTTGTAAACCTCTATCACCCACAGTAACTCCGGGTTAGGTTAGGTTAGGTTAGGTTAGGTTAGGTTAGGTTAGGTTAGGTTAGGTTAGGTTAGGTTAGGTTCAGTGACTTGTATCTCTCTCAAAAAACAAACAAAACATATACTATTAAAAGAGAGATTTGCTTAAATTAGCGTTGTGAGGTTAGGTTATGACTGAGTTAGGTTGAGTTGGGTTACGTTGGTTGGATTAGGGTTGGGAGCGGGTTAGGTCTTATAGTTGCTGGGTTATTTGGGTTAGATACGGTTGGGTAAGGTTGGGTTGGCTTTGGTTAGGTTAGGTTAGGCTAGGCAAGATGCATATGCTTGGTAAGGTTGCGCTAACCTAACCTCACCTCACCTCAGGTAGCGTTAGATTGATTAAGCAACAGGTGATATAACCTTACAGGGAATCAAATCCTCAGGTGAACCATAAAACAAAATACAAAGTGAAATAAATTATAAGTCACCAGGTAGTGTGTATGATTACTTAACGAGTATTCCTCTAAGTCATCAGGTAGGCAGCGTGACAAAGGTAAGGCACAAGGTAATTAGAGTGATTACTTTAATGATAGGTAATTCGGGTCATAATTCAAGTGAAACTGATTAGCCTTTGAGCCTTTATCGTTACTAGATCTCGTTATGGTTTTTATCTATGAGTTACCTGTTATGGGTTCGGCTCAGTGTCTGGCTCACATGGGGGGGGTGTCGTACAGGTCTTTAGTCCATTGTGTTCGATGATGAGACCAATTAAGAAAGGTACATTGTTGGTCCTCTGATCCATGAAGTTTTAACCGTTAATGGTCTTCTGTTTTTGGTCTCCTGTTTGTGATCTGTTTGTGGTCTCCTGTGCGTGGTCTTCTGTGTGTGGTCTCCTGTTTGTAATATCTGTTTTGAGACTTCTGTTTGTGATGTGTTGCCTTGTGTTCTCCTGTTTGTCATCTGTTTGTGGTCCCTGTCAGATCTGTTTGTGGACTCCAGTGTGTGGTCTCTTGCTTGTGGTCTCCTGTGCGTGGTCTTCTGTTTGTGGTCTCCTGTGTGTGGTCTCTGCTTGTGGTTTCTTGTTTAATATCTGTTTGTGGTCTCTTGCTTGTGGTCTCCTGTGCGTGGTCTTCTGTTTCAGACATCACCAGTTTTGGAGTCAAGGACATAAGAGGCAACAGCCTCTGAGAGCTACCAGGTCCTGAGAGCTACCAGGCCCTGAGAGCTACCAGGTCCTGAGAGCACAGGCCTGAGAGCTGCCAGGTCCTGAGAGCTACCAGGTCCTGAGAGCTACTGAGGACAAGAGCCTAGCCCAGGATAACAACACTAGCAAAGAACTTACGGTAGGAACATCTGAGGACCGCCAGCAGTAGCCGATGCCCAGGAGATAAGAGTCATAATGCAGCAGTTAATGGCCAGTAGGAACAGCTGTGAACACTCCTCCTCCCTCCCTCCCTCTTCTGGCGCTGCTGTTATCCACACTAGGGAAACTGAAGAGAGCACCCCCCTCCCTCCCTCCCCACCTCTACTGGCGCTGCTGTTAACTATTAGTAGGAACAGATGAGACCACCCCTCCCTCCTTCCTCCCTCCCCAGCAGCAGTAGTAGCCGTGGGCCACCAGCAGGAGGAGCAGGTGTAGATCATCTGCAGGAGCCGAGCACAACACACGTGCTGCCACATTTACTATGCATAAGCTGCTCTGCGTCCGGCTCCAGTACCATGTGTGTTTCTTTTATACTTTTAGAGAGATTATCCGGCTATTATATTTGGCGAGTCAGCCACCGTGGACCTGATGAGCCGGCCACCGTGGACCTGATGAGCCGGCCACCGTGGACCTGATGAGCCGGCCACCGTGGACCTGATGAGCCGGTCACCGTGGACTTGGTAAAGCCGGAGGAAGACGTGAAGATTAGACACCCCAGCTTATTTCACCGGAATATGAGACTCCCTAACGTTATCTAACCTAACCTGACCTAACCTAACCTAACCTAACCTAACCTAACCTAACCTAACCAATCGCAGGTAGCGTTAATGTGGTTTATCATCAGGTGAAATACGCTGGGGTGTCTAACCTTCACGTGACCAATGCCGGGTGCTCCAACTTAATCTGTTGTTAACTTTCACTACAGCTTTATTGCTGATATGACGCAATATGGAGTGCGGCGGTCGATTGGGTACATCGCTCACCTCCTGTTCTAGGGGTTCGTAGTTCGATACCCGGGCACTCCCAGTTCACCCAGCTGTTTTTGAGTACCTAAGTTCAACTTGAGGTCATGTTGCCTCCTTGCTTACAGAAGGCTTCACAGTGTGCGAAATCCACACTGTCCCTAACGAGTGGGTCACATAGACATGACGCCTGACCCACTTTTACTTTCATGACATAATATAACGATACAGACTTAAATACATAATATATTATACAGAGTCAGTAATATACACCTCTGAGAACCGGGCTTCGAACCCAGACCACCAGTTCTTTTTTTTTTAATCTGAGGTATTTTTCACGATGATACTACCTAGTGAAGTACTGAAGTATGTAATGTAGTAAAATTAATGTTATTTAGTAAACGAGAAACATCGATAGTAGAGAAGATTAAACTGCAAAATATACCAAATAACGTCAAGTTTGTTATCTGCTAAAGTTACCTGGTAATTAGGTAATATAGGTAACTAACTAACTTTTAACACCTGGGAATCATAATCGTGTCAAAGTACAAGTGCAGGTGGTCTGGTCCTCTCGAGCGGGAAATAACCTCCTGCTGAAGTTAACGCCTCCGTCAGGTGATAATGATCATAGTGATGATAAAAGGTTAGGTCAGGTCAGGTCATGTCATGTCGGGTCAGGTTAGGTCAGGTCAGGTTAGATTAGGAATAGTGTGTAAGAACATACCTGAACTGTGAACGTATGAACGAAGGATACCTGAACTGTGAACGTATGAACGAAGGATACCCGTGTCGTGAACGTGTGAACGAAGGATCCCTTGGTGTTGGTAGTGTGTAATTTATATAGGTGAACTTGTCAAGGAAGACATCTAACAGCCAGTAGTTAAAGTAAATGAATCACATGAAGATTAGTCCTCCCCAAATCTATATTACCTGATGATTAAGCACCTTAACTCTCACCTAACCTAACGCAACGCTAACCAAATCTAACATGTGTGCGCGTCTGTGTCTCGGAAATGTGACGCCAACAAATTATCTAATTACAGGTAAATTTCCCATATATATAACAAAGTCTACATTCTTTATTCGATCTTTTATGAACAAAACTCAGAATTTGATTAATTTTTTGAACTGAATCGTTTTTTTTGTCTTTTTTTTTACAAGAATCGCAACAAGTTACTCGTCTATATGATAATGCAATAAGGTAAGATAGAGTCAAGTCTTCCCTGCCATCTCCCTTCTACGAGTCATTTCAGGTATTTCCATTTTCCCCCGAGGTCTCACGCCGGCGGGATCGTTACCATGTTAGTTAAATTCTCATAGCAGTGGGGCAACTCGCTTCACCCTCAGTTGCACGGTTTCAGGTTCAGTTCCACGGTTTCAGGCTCGGTTTACCGGTTTCACCCTCAGTTCCCCCATCTTCCACCCTCAGTTCCCCATCTTCCACCCTCAGTCCCCCATCTTCCACCCCCAGTTCATCCCCATCTTCCACCTCGTTCCCATCTTCCACCCTCAGTTCCCCATCTTCCACCCCTTCCCCATCTTCCACCCTCAGTCCCCCATCTTCCACCCTCAGTCCCCATCTACCCTCAGTCCCCCATCTTCCACCCTCAGTTGCCCCCTCTTCACCCTCAGTCCCCCTCTTCCACCCTCAGTCCCCATCTTCCACCCTCAGTCCCCCCATCTTCCACCCTCAGTCCCCCCTCTTCCACCCTCAGTCCCCCATCTTCCACCCTCAGTCCCCCTCTTCCACCCTCAGTCCCCATCTTCCACCCTCAGTTCCCCATCTTCACCCTCAGTTTGCCCCTCTTCCACCCTCAGTCCATCTTCCACCCTCAGTTCCCCATCTTCCACCCTCAGTCCCCATCTTCCACCTCAGTCCCCATCTTCACCCTCACGCGGTAACTATCGTCCATTATTGGCTCCTCGTTTTGTGGGATGTTCCATGAATGTCTATTAATTTCAAGTGGGTGTTCCTATTAGCCAAGTTTGGATGTATAACTGATGTCGTATATGTCTGACTAATAGGGGTTCTAGTACAGGTAATAAAGAATGGATCACCTGAAGATTACACCTAATGACTACCTGGAATTACACACCCTAGCTTATTTCACCTGGAGATTACACACCCTAGCTTATTTCACCTGGAGATTACACACCCTAGCTTATTTCACCTGGAGATTAACCACCATAACTCTAACTTAACATAACTTTTCTTAACCTAACGTAACCTAATTTAACATATCCTAACCTAACCTAACTTAACCTATCCAGATTTAAACTAGGCTAAACTAACCTAACTTAACCTTGTCTAACATTACCTAGCCTATCCCCAGGTAACGTTAGGGTGGTTAATCTTCAGGTGAAATAAACTGGGGTGTGTAATCTATAGATGGTCTTATACACACACACACACACACACACACATATACACACACACACACACACACACACACACACACACACACACACACATATACACACACACACACACACACACACACACACACATACACACACACACACACACACACACACACACACACACACACACACACACACACACACACACACACACACACACACACACACACACACACACATACACACACACACACACACACACATACACACACACACATACACACACACACATACACATACACACACACACACACACACACACACACACACACACACACACACACACACACACACACACATGCAAACATGCATCTTAAACACTGACAATAAATAACCAGAACAGTGCTAAGTCAAGTGCCAGCTCTCACCGGGTGGCACCATTAATAAGACGTGACCTCGACCTATATACGTCTGACCCCCTAAACACAACAGATTTCTAAGGGTCTTTATATAAGGTCATGGAGTAACTGTGCCCAGATTTTAATGTATTACTGTTAAAATCTGGACTTTTGAGGATGACCCTGTATATATGCTTAGGTTTTAGTATATTCTCCCTTAAAATCTGGACTTTTTTTGTGACCCTGTTGCCCAGATTTTGATATCTATATTACTCTTTAAAATCTGGAGGGTTTTTTGTTGTTGTTGTTGTTGTTGGCTCTATATCAGGTTTTTATATCGAGACTTTATTTATATATATTTTTTTGCAATGGTCGTGTATATATATATATATATATATATATATATATATATATATATATATATATATATATATATATATATATATATATATATATATGAACATCGTAGCTCATTCTATTCTCGGCCTCTGATGCGGACACAACATAGTTTACCGACAGTGAGTTATGCAGATACACAGAGCACTGCAGGGGCCACCCCTCTCTCCTGCCTCGTTTCTCGTCTGTTCGTAACTGATGAAGGGATGGGACGAATAGAACATAACCAGGACTATCGTATTTACTGTTAATCACCATAAAGGTAACCACACACACACACACACACACACACACACACACACACACACACACACACACACACACACATCTGCCAAGTGAGTTAAAGGGCGAGTTAGGGCTGCTCTTAACGTTTACACTTCACGAGAGTGGAACACGAAGGGTTGGGTGAAGTCCTTATGAGGCTGTTGGGGATGAGTGGGGTGTGAGGGCCCTGTGTGACTGTTGGGATTGTGAGTGAGGTGTGAGGGCCTTGTGTGACTGTTGGAGGATTTTGGTGGGTGTGGGGGCCTTGTGACTGTTGGAGGATTTTTGAGGGGTGTGGGGCTTGTGTGACTATACCTTTGGGAGACTATGAGTGAGGTGTGAGGGCCTTGTGTGACTGTTGGAGTTGTGAGTGAGGTGAAGTGCCCTGTGACTGTTGGAGGATTGAAGTGAGGTGTGAAGTCCTTATGAGGCTGTTGGGGGATTGTGGTGAGGTGTGAGTGCCCTGTGTGACTGTTGGGGGATTGTGTGTGAGGTGAGGGCTGCCTGACTGTTGGGGATTGTGAGTGAGGTGTGAGCTTGTGTGACTGTTGGGGATTGTGAGTTGGGTGGGGCCTTATGTGACTGTTGGGGGATTGTGAGTGGTGTGAGGGCCTTTAGTGTGACTGTTGGGTTGTGATGGTGTGAGGGCCTTGTGTGACTGTTGGGGGATTGTGAGAGTGAGTGTGAGGGCCTTGTGTGACTGTTGGGGGATTGTGGGTGAGTGTGAGGGCCTTTGTGTGACTGTTGGGGGATTGTGAGTGAGGTGTGAGGGCCTTGTGTGACTGTTGGGGGATTGTGAGTGAGGTGTGAGGGCCTTGTGTGACTGTACCTTGGGGAGATTGTGAGTGGGGGTGTGACAACAAAGGATCTATTATGATGAACTTTGAACCAATTCTTGAACAACTGTGTGATTTTTGTAGAAGACTGTGAGACTTATATGAATAAATGACAGGTGAGGAAAATATATGAGTGAATGAGAGATGAGGAAAAGGAGGAGAGTGATAAAGTATTCTAAGAGGACAACAGTGTGATAAAAGTAAGTGAAATGTGGGTTAGTTTCACCGTAGAGTTTAACACACACAACTCCTTGGCTAAGTTTGGTTAGATTTGGCTTGATTAGATTAGGTTTGAGTAAGTTTGGTTAGATTTGGATAAGTTAGATTAAGTTTAGCTTGGTTTGGTTAGGTTTGTTTTGATTTGGTTAGATTTAGTTAAGTTAGATTAGGTTTGGTACGATTTGGTTGAGTAAGTTTAGGTTAGTTAGACTAGTTAGGATAGGTTGGAATATTTAGGCTTGGTTAGGTTAGGTTAGATTTGGTTTGGTTAGGTTAGATTTGGTTAGGTTAGGTTAGATTAGCTTAGATTAAGTTGCCTCCCATATCGGGAATGCTGTACAGATGCAGTAGCTACTTCACTCCTGAGCAGTTACTTCAAGCATATAAGGGATTCGTTCGTCCTAACTTGGAGTACTGCTCTCATATCTGGGGTGGCTCTTCTTCTGTTAGACAGGGTGGAATCAAAGGCATTTCGTCTTATTAACTCTCCTCCTTTAGTCGACAATCTTTCTTCCCTTTATATTCACCGCAATGTTGCTTTTCTCTCTCTCTTCTACAGGTCTTTGACGGGCACTCACTTAAAACAGCTGGTCTTCCGGCAACTTCGCGGTGTAGATTAATATACTCCTTTTTTCTCTTCTTTTTACTCTTATTTTCTCTCCCCCTAGGCCCTTGTGGGTCGATGACCTGTGCCCTGGTGGGCTATTCCCCGTAAAAAAAAAGTTAGGTTAGGTAAGATTAGTTTAGTTAGATTAGATAAGAGAAACCCTCCTCCTATAACCTTCCACCCCCTCCTATACCTAGTCCTCTCCTCCACCCTCCCTCCCACCCCTCAGTCCCCACCCCTCTCCGCCCCTCACCATATCTCCGTCTATAGGCTCATCACTCCACATTAGGTGTCCGTCACTGCTGTTGGGCCGAGGTTAGGCTTATATTCCCGTCTCATCTCTGGGGACCGAGCCTGAAGCCCACCTCATGTGTGACAGACAGACAGACAGACAGACAGACAGACAGACAGACGGTGGTGGTGGTGGTGATATGAATAAACAGTATATCGTAATGTAACCGTAAAACACAATGTAACTTAACATAAATATCCTAGTACAATCTACAGTTATAAGTACAGTCTACAGTTATAAGTACAGTCTACAGTTATAAGTACAGTCTACAGTTATAAGTACAGTCTACAGTTATAAGTACAGTCTACAGTTATAAGTACAGTCTACAGTTATAAGTACAGTCCACAGTTATAAGTACAGTCCACAGTTATAGTACAGTCTACAGTTATAAGTACAGTCTACAGTTAAAAGTACAGTCCACAGTTATAAGTACAGTCCACAGTTATAAGTACAGTCTACAGTTATAAGTACAGTCCACAGTTATAAGTACAGTCCACAGTTATAAGTACAGTCCACAGTTATAAGTACAGTCACAGTTATAAGTACAGTCACAGTTATAAGTACAGTCCACAGTTATAGTACAGTCCACAGTTATAAGTACAGTCTACAGTTATAAGTACAGTCTACAGTTATAAGTACAGTCTACAGTTATAAGCACAGTCTACAGATTAAAAGTACAGTCCACAGTTATAAGTACAGTCCACAATTATAAGTACAGTCACAGTTATAAATTACAGTCTACAGTTAAAGTACAGTCCACAGTTATAAGTACAGTCCACAGTTATAAGTACAGTCTACAGTTATAAAGTACAGTCTACAGTTATAAGTACAGTCTACAGTTATAAGCACAGTCTACAGTTATAAGTACAGTCCACAGTTATAAGTACAGTCCACAGTTATAAGTGCGTCATATCCACCTTACAAGGTCCGCGGGTGCCTGATGGCTCTAAGGGCGTCTCCCTCCACTATTAAGGAGTCATCGTTGTGA